TACAGTAATGAATTATGTAGACTTTTAGAAAATAATAAATATACAAAGATGTACTTTTTTCTTATTATATCTACAAAATGATTTTAGGATAGATTTGAGATGGTAATATGAACTGTTATAAGATCTAAGTAAATTATGGTTATCTTGTAAAACATGAATGAACAAAAGTATAGTCAAATGATTGATTAATAATGATACTAAGGTATTTAATTTTTGATTGACAATATGAGATTATATGTAATGTAATTGAAGACTACGAAATGGAAGCACAAAACAATTTGTAAACCATCCGGCACACTGTGGAAGATAGCTTGATGTTTTTATGTTTTGTTTGTTTATGTTTGTTTTTAAAAACCAATAAAATTTGGGGGAAAAAACCAGAACGTGTTAATAATAATATACCAAATACTAATGCTCTGATGGTCATTTCGAAAAATCCTTTCTTAGTAAGCACCTAGAAGCCAAGAGAAACATACGTGCCAAGTTTCTAGGTTTTACAGTTCTGGAGATTTTGTGATGATGCGCGAGTGATATTTCGCTTTTATATATATTTTTTCCTACCAAAATTCAACTCCCTTCAATTACTGGCTATCAAATAATTGGAAGGGTTGATTTCCAGCAAGAAAAATGGCTTAAAGATATTTTATACCAACTGCTATGCAAAGAATTTTTCAATGCCTTCTAAAAAAAAATTTTGTGATTAGTATCATAACACAGGGGTCCCCAACCACCGGGCCGCGGACCAGTCCCGGTCCGTGGAACATTTCCTACTGGGCCACTGGTTTGCTGGGCGCCACCATCTTGTTTGACGAGAAAGTGCTTCCAGGTGAGCTTTTCCGGTTGGAAAGCGGCGTTTGGGTGCTGAAAGAATCCTCGCACCTTAGTTTCATCAAAGGGGGGGAGGGCTTCGAACGAAACTAAGGCGCGAGGATTCTTTCAGCACCCAAGGCAAGGCGAGCCGAGCGACCATCCCAAAGCCGTCCCGAAGCGAAGCCCATCGACAAAGGTACAAAGGAGGAGTTGAAGGTGGCGGGGAGAAGTGGGGGACGGCTGGCTGGCCGGTTGCTCGGCTCGCCTTGCCTTGTCATGCATGCTGATGCCGGTACCGGGCCGCGGATCATTTTGTGATGCCAGTACCGGGCCGTGGCACAAAAAAGGTTGGGGGCCACTGTCATAACATGTTAAATCATGAGAAAAGTATGAGCGCAACAGGGTATAGCTCACATTAATCAATTAATTACATTGCGAGACCTGTCCCAGCAGCTTACTTTTGGTCAGCAATCCAGAAGACTTCTCCACCCATTTATCACCATACTACTTGGGATTCTAAGATGGGATCTAATGCCGTTCAACCTCCTCTATCTGCTTAGCTCTTTGAACAAGGCCCATAAATTCCTTCCCTGTATTTTTTCATGGCAGACACAAGAGAGGAGCCCTGCAGCTGCCCCCACTTCCTCTCAGAATTTCATTTTAAAAATCTCTTTAGAAATAAGGAAAGTATTCTAAGTCCTTACTACTATGACAACCATTAATAAAAACACATTTACACAGCAGGATCAGAACAAGTTGAACCAGTTTCGAAGAAAGGCGCAGAAGAATGTAGTTTTTTATTTTTTAAAAAATAAAATACAAAATATTAAAATGTGTAATAACTGTCACAGCAAAAAGCTAATCCACTAATGGATTTTAGCTGTATTCAACATTAACATTGAAAGTGCATAACATTTTTCACAGTATACATTTATATATGACCTATTGTCTCCTTTATTATTAACTCTATTTTTTATAAAATATGAGCCATAATTTTGAGTAAGGTTAAAGCCAGTTAGAACTATTTAGGGGGAAATCTGAAAATAACAAAGCTTTTTTTTGGTTTAGGTTGAAGAAAAGGAGTAACTGATTTTAGGTCAACAGTGAAGAAGCTAATCCATCCATAAATGAGCTTATAAAAAACTCATCAGTTTCAGCAAGTTGCTCTTATGGAGAAATGGAAATGAGTCTTGCTTCTCAGACTGTTTGTGATATTTCTAACATCTTTTAGAGAACCAAAAATTCAATGCTGAATTAAGTGCCTTATTTACCAGTTTCTGTGGTCTTCTATAGCTACTTGCACCAACTCTGGCACACGGTCAGTATAGCAATCAGGTTAACAGGTTCTAACTTAACAGTTCCAATAAAGCATTCTAAAAAATATAGAGGTAATCCCCAGGGTTTAGCAAACATTTGAAGTTATGTGAAAAGCGCCACCTAGCGTTTGCGAACAAGGCACAAAACTACGAATCTTGTAGCACCATGGCAGTTGTTCGCCCTTACAAATAATTGCAGAGGCTCTGCTACATTTGCTTGGCATGTTGCCAGCCAAAATGGAGCTTCTGAAAGGAAATCCACCCCACAGAAGCCCCGTTCGGTAGTCCATAGGCCTTGCCCGGCCTATAGCTGGCCGAAATGGAGCTTCTGAGAGGAGGATCCGCCCCTTTGAAGCCCCATTCGGCCCCCAGCTCGTTGCAGGCCTCCGACACTCCATTCAGCCCTCCATGGGCCTCCCCCAACCAACTGCAAGCTGAAATGGAGCTTCTGGGGGCATAGACCCCCATGGCCTTCCCCTCCTGAAATACCTCATGTGCACTTAACAAGCCTTGCATTTGATTAGCGAATGTGTGGGTGAAAGGAGGGAGTGATCTCTTTCAAGGTATGATTCACTCCCATGAATCCTCGGGTTACGAATGGAATGGGCAGGCTCCATTACATTTGTAACTTGAGGACTACCTATAGTGGCTTTCCTCCCAGCATACAGATTATCTGAAACTTATGGGAGTGAAATTTGAAGTTTCAAATTTATGAGACAGTAAGAGTATATTGCATAAGGCTTATGAAGACCATGATTATACTATCTCCATCCTTTCAAATTAGCAACTCAAGCTGGCCAAATACACAAGTCCTTATATCTGGAAAATAAATTTCCAGATACACACACATAATTTTGTGCCTGTGTACAAAAACAAAACAAATCTGAGTATGTTTGAGTTGCTGTGTAATTGAATTGGGATAATGATTTAAAAATTAAAATTTAGAAGACTCAGTAATGAACTTGAACAGCAAACTGAATTGTCATGGCCCACAACACTTTCCCCAAGTAACATTAAAAAGGTGAGTTCTTCGTCTTCAACCCTCCCTTTATTTTTATCATATGTTTAACATAACAACGGAAGGCTTTTGGATCATATAAACTTTTATCTGTTAAGCAAGTAACAAACATACCAAGGTACTTGGAAATGACAGATGTAGCAAAAATTAGTTATGAAGCTGTTAAAATCAATGAACAATCGGCACCAATGAAATTGTACGCAACAAAACAAGTTCAATAAAGCAGGGGTCCCCAACCCCCAGTCCGTAGACCAGTATTGGCTTGTGGCGCGTTGAGTATCAGGTTATGTAAGCAGCGGGTGAGCACACAATAAATATTAAACGTTGACATCCTATGTTTAAAAAGATAATGTTGCAAGTGTTTATATTACCACACAGGATTAACCCAAGCGTTTTCTTGTGCAATGTTTAAGAGTATCAAGCATACAACTTAAAAATCTCCATTTGTATTATACAATGTAAGCCCACCTGAGTTGGCAAAGAATAAGCATGAATTAAATTACAGACAATGTTTATAATTGTACCAACACTTTACATCTGTTTTATTTATAGTCAAGGCATAAGGCATGAACAGAAAAAAAAAAACACATCCCAATTTCTCAGCAAGTCATGGGTCCTTCATTTTTCCCGAAGATTTGTTACAGTTAAAATATTCTTCATTGCTCCCATACAGGGAACGTTGGAATATATTAATACAATTCTGCCATCCAGGTACAGTGCTTAATAAAACAGAATGAATACTTCACAAAACTATGCACTCCAGAGCAGAAATTACCATATTTTATTAGGCCAGGTCCCAAGAACTCATGGAAAGAAACCTACCAATTCTTGACTGGTATACTAAATCCAATGGAACAGTCCTATGAAAGCTTAGTTCTCCAATTTAATATAGTCTTCTTCACATAACTAACTATAATTTAAATTGTAAAAAAAAAGTTTTTGTTTATTTAAAGTGTCAGTATGGGCAGACAACTGCATGACTTTTGGAAGCTACAAAATAAGGATTAGATCTGAGGCAGTTGAGCTGTGTTCTACATCAGGGGTCCCCAACCACCGGTCCGCGGACCGGTACCGGTCCGTGGAACAAGTCCTACCGGGCCGCTGGTTTGCTGGGCGCCGCCATCTTTTTTTGATGAAAAAGTGCTTCCGGTGAGCTTT